AGCTGTATGGAATCTGGAGTCTGACCATGTGGGGCCCTCTGTTCTTTTTAGTGCCTGTACTACAGCTAGCGCACAGTTCAGGATTTACATGCTTTTAAAAACAATACAAGTACTTTGGAAGGGGGCTGTTGCACAAACTGGAGGGGGCTGTAATGGGGTGGGAGGAGGCAGGTCAGTATAGGACATAAAGGGAGGAGGTAAAGTAACACCAAGAGATTGGAAAAAGCCTTAAGGAATCATATTATTTTTTACCTAAATTACAAGACAACACATACAAGTCTATGTGTATACATATACACATATAGTTCAAATGAAGTTACTTCTTTGGGCTGATAGTAACTCCCACCTTCTAACCCCCGCCAAGAACCATAGACAATCTAATAAAACGCCCATATCAGGCATGAGAAACTGCATTTTGAGTTGCTGGCCAGGGGAGTCCAAAAGCCTCCCAAAACAATATAGGCCATTATGGTTGCCCCTCGTCGCTTCCCAGAGGTAGTTCCTACAGCTGAAGACACCCTGCACTCTGGACACAGGACCTAGAGGATCCTAGCTGGATCTGACCTGAAAGCCTCCTCCCTGGAGACCAGTTTCTATAGCACAGGAAGGTGCCAGACAAGCTTCGAAGGGAGGAAAACAACCAATAGTCCTACTCAGCTGTGATGCCTGTGAACCACAATGACAACCAGAACGATATGATAATCTTAAGGGTGCAATCATGGCATTCTATCTTGGTGGTAACCAACAACTCTCTAACTGGACTTAAGGCCCACTCAAGAGGAGGAATTACTGTGCCTGGTACTGGAAACCAAGTCAACCACCTAGGGCTCGGGAAGATCTTAGAGGAGAACTTAATGACCGTCACTTTACTAACTTCATTCTAAATATCGACCCTACAGCCACAGGTAAGCGTAGCTCTCGCCTCTCACTGCCTCTCTTTGCAACAGAAGACCCTCACAGAAAACTTCAACCGGTCAAATACAGAAAACAAATGACCATACAGTGCCCAGCCCCAACTGGTCCATCCACGACAACTCCTGCACCTGAGGTTCACAGAGCATCACTGAAGAGGAGGCAGAAAGCTCATAAGAACGAGAGTCCTAGGAAGGCTGCTGTGAGATTATGTCTAGAAATGACAGGGAAGCCTTCACCCAGGATACTTCAGCAATATGGCTGCTTAAACAAGCCCCGAAGAAGTATAACAGCAGATTTGCTAACGTGGAAGGGGGAAGTCTCAAGAAATTAAGGAATGCTAAGAGCGGGAGCCACAGTCTGCCCCAGGGATGAGCTCCCTAACTAGTTGTCCAGTACTATATGGTCAATGGATTGAGCAGGTTATATTTGTATATTTAGGCATTCACACACACACACACACACACACACACACACACACACACACACACACACGTTCATTACAATAACAATTAAGGAAAAAGGGGCCACGATTTCAAGATAGAGCAAGGGGAGGTGTTGGGAAGGAGGGAAGGGAAGGGAGAAGATGATGTAATAATATTTTAATTTAAAAAGTAAAAAACAAAAAACTATATCAAAACATAAACAGGAAAGTCAGTGAGACATCTTGATGACTAATAAAAGTAACTTAAAGAGATGAAGAAATACGAAAACTGCTTCTCGGAGTCCTTCTTAGAGAACAGCGGTGGGGACAAAGAAGAGGATGGAGATGGACTCAGCGGTCACGAACGCTGTGGCTCTTGCAGGGGACGAGGTTCTGACTCCCAGCACCCCATGTGAGCCACCGAGTGGAGATGGAAATCCAAGTCGGGTTCTGGGGGCTCTGGCTCCCTTTTCTGACTTTAGCACACACATGGTGCACAGACATATGCAGACAAAACGTTCATATACATTAAATTTAGAAAGAGAGGAAAATGTATAGCCTGTGAACTTTAAAATAAATAGCTATATAACAAACAAGCAAAACGCAGTGGCTGTTTTTAAGGACCCATTAAAGGACCAGCTCTGTTTAGACATTTTGCAAGTCTTCTCATTTAACCTAACACCTCAAAAAGCAGGTGTAGTAACCCCTTTTAAAGATAAGCTTAAAGGCACTATTATGAGAATTACCTTGAAAATCAAAGAAGCTGCTTAAAGCCCCCTCCCCCAGTGAGCACTGTTAGGACTTTCCCCACTTCTAACACAGAGTTCCAGTCACCCTGCCTATCCACCTGAATACTGCAGAGGAAGCGGACACTGTTCCAAAGTGTCTGTAATAAGCAAGTTATAGCTGCTTATTATAAACAAAGGTTTACCATGTTGATCTACCATAACCCACACAGCCATTCCTTTATTCTACCGTAGTTCCCACCTCCAAAAAACTCTGCATTTGCCAGGGAGGTGCCTAGAGCAGAGCACATTGAGCTAGAGTTCACCCCTACACAAAGCTACTAAGTAACTTGGCACATAAGGCTTGATATATTTAGAATAACCACCTTAAGAAAGATTTGTGAAATTGGAATAGCTAGTTCAAAGCCCAAATCTCTTGTAAACGGCTCTAATACGTGTCAAATTACATTGTCCAACAAATAACTTTACAAAATGTAAGAAGTCAGGGAGAAAACTGTTGCAGTGGCTGCCCACGTAAGATGCTACGCGGGTGTAGTGGTGTGCGCCTGCAATCCAGTTACTGAGGGCTGCGGAGGAATTGCAAGTTCAAGGCTAGCCTGGCACCAGAGCTAGACCTGTCAGAGAGAGAGGGAGAGAGACAGACAGAGGGAGGGAGGGAGAGGGAAAGGGAGACACAGGGAGAAGATCGACTATGATGATGACGACATTGGCTAAGGTGAGGATGGGTAAGAGGAGGATAATAATGGTGCGACATTTTCTAGAAGTAGAAACTGTATACAGATTAGAATACGTACAAGTTAAAAGATACACATCTCAGCACAAAGTGTATCTTGATAAGTGCTTCCAACTTTTCACATTTTGAACTGATTTGCATGGTTATCAAGGGAAGTTTCAAAAATGAGAAACAAAGAAGTATCTAAATAGAGCTCACTAAATACTAAAGGCATTTGGACCGACTTCTTAAAAACTCCCTGGAAACTGCCTGTACAGATGCTTTTGTTGTTGTTTTTGAAACAGGGTTACGCTATGTATGTAATCCAGGCTGGCCTTCAACTGTGATCCTCCTGCATCAGCCTCCTGAGTGCTGCAATGACAGGTGTGCATATGGCTTTTATAACTTGCCTTAAATTATTTTCCCACATTACTTGTTTTCTTTAATATGTTTCTATGGCCATAGCCAGGCAGTGGTGGTGCATGTCTTTTAGACCAGGACTCGGAAGGCAGAGGAAGGCGGATCTCTGAGTTCGAGGACAGCTGGGTCTACAGAGTTCCAGGACAGCTAGGGTTATATGACAGAAAAACCTTGTTTCAAAAGGGGGAAACAAACACACACACACACACACACACACACACACACACACACACATTCCCCCATGGCCATCTTCAGTGTAAGTCACTACTGATGCCACAGGGCTGAACTGTAATTTGCTTTCAGCATACCTTTGGTGTATCTGATTACATCCTCAGATCAGTTAGTAAGGGTAAAATTGCTGGGATATTTTAATTTAAGGCTATACAACTTTGTTAAGACTTGCATTCACTAGTCAAGCTTATACTGTCAACAACTGTATGTGAGGTCTCCCTGAATCTTTATTGATAACGATTACTATTAACTTCTAATATCCTTTGTAAAATGACTTAGTATTCTTTTCTTTTTTTTTTTTTAATTTTTATTTTATGTGCATTGGTGTTTGACCTGCATGTATGTCTATGTGAGCTGCTATGTGAGTGCCTGGAATGGAACCCAGGTCCTCTGGAAGAGCAGTCAGTGTCCTTAACCACTGAGCCGTCTCTCCAACCCTGACTTAGTATTTCTATTGGTGTTTCTTTCAACATTATGACTGAAAGTTCTATTGTACTGAATGGTTTTGCAATTCTGTTCTGTGAATCACCAGTCCATTCATCTTTCCTCGCTTCTGTAGGCTCCACTTTTTTGAACCACCAGTCCATTCATCTTTCCTTGCTTCTGTAGGCTCCACTTTTTGGAATCACCAGTCCATTCATCTTTCCTCGCTTCTGTAGGCTCCACTTTTTTGAATCACCAGTCCATTCATCTTTCCTTGCTTCTATAGGCTCCACTTTTTTGAATCACCAGTCCATTCATCTTTCCTTGCTTCTGTAGGCTCCACTTTTTTGTTTGCTTGACTGTATTTGCAGAGCTGGAGATGGAACCAAGGCCCTTATGCATGCCTCAAGGTCCTTAGGCAAGCAACCTACCGCGAAGTTAAAACCCTTACCCTTGTAAGTTTAGTTACCTTGTACTCTTCATACAGAAAGAATTCAAACTGTCATCATAGTGTTACGGGTGAGCCTGCAGTACATTTTCTTGAATCCCGAAGAAACACTGCTTTGTCAAAGTCCCTACTAAGCACTGGTATCTCTGGGACATCGTTCTGAAGAATAAGGATGTTTCAGGGACTCGTATAGGGCCTCTCTGTTGTCTAGAGCTACTCAGTGCTAGAGTACTTGTTTCACTTCATTGCACTTAAGGTATACAGTATTTGAGGTTTGAAATTTCATTTTTTATATTGTCAATTATATTCTCTCATGAGGCTGTCTCTAGTGAAAAAATTATTTCTTAAGATATAAAGAAAACATTGGGGGGGATTTTATAAAGGGACACACACACACACACACACACACACACACACACACACACACTGCTTCACCCAGGGTTGTTGAAATAAACTCACGCGGGCTTCCTATCAAGTAATTCACATATCTCTTAACATACTCTGTGGCATTCTTAAATTAAGAGCACCGACACCAAAATACAAAGAGCCCTTCATTCGATTTGTATCCTCTCTCAGCTCCCACAGGCAGCGTCCTAACATCTAAGCAACGGAAATGAGCATCTAGGAACACAGAAGGGAAACAGGACATGCGCACTCCTCAGTCCTTCCTTCCAAATGGGTTACCTTCAAGGCTGGCAGGCTGAAGCCATCTGTCAAGTTGTGAGCTTCCTCTTCGGATATCTGTTCTTCACTGAGGCCAAGGCCCAGCTCCTTAAAAGGTACCACACAGATGTAGTTGGTCACATTGTCACTCTCAGCGTTCAGGGGGTAGGTTAAATTAGGTTAAGGCAATCAATAACACCTCTTCATTAACACATTTAAGGTAGCCACAAACATCCAAAACTATAGTGACTAATTTTATTCTGAACTTAGACTGAAGATTTACATCAGTTGTTTTAAAGAAGTTAGTTGCAAGAGTTAACACATTGAGATAACACTTGGGTATCTTATAGAGTACTTTGAAGAAAATTTTTTGTTAAAATAGTTAAAAGTAGGCAGGTAGCACTCTAGTTACTGCCCAGCATGCTGCCCCCTTCTGTATATTTCATAAACTTCTTGTATTCTGAAATAAAAACAAGTGATTCAAGTTCAGCTCTTCAAAACTGCTCAAATGCTGTTGTTTTTGAGACCTTCCTTCTAAAGGCGTACTTTGTCCTGTGTTGTGTAGTGGCTCAGGCTCTCACTATGCCACAGTGAATACTTCTCTTTGCCCTTCCAATCCATCAGCTATCACTAGCTGAACGCGTTAGGACTAGCCTGCTCTAGCTCGTTTGATATACACTGTCCCATTTTGTTATCTTACTCATGGATGTATCAGTATCAATCAAATTATTTCCCATTTACTTTCTTTTCTATATTATACCCATACACTAAAAAAAACCTTTCATTTGCATTTATTTATGCTAAATTTATTTCCATGTCATACTTTTTTTTTGGTCTCTCTAGCTTTTCCTGGGACATGTTTTTCTTCTGTGAACCTCCTCTTCTGGCTTTGCACAATCGGTTCCTTTTCAATGAGAATCACCTCAGTGTGGAAGTAGAGCTCATGCCCGAGAGACTCTATCATGAACTCTGAACATCAGCAGCTTGACCTGGGTGCTCTGTTCGTCTCGATACGGTCAAAGACTAGACCATCTGTATCATACCCCTGAATTCAGCGTTACTTTCTGCATGTCTAAGCACAGGAAGCAAAAAGTCCAACATTCTTTTCAGGCCGGTGACCCTGTGTCCAGCCACACTGTTTGACCAGGGCACAGGTACTGACTCCACCAGTACACCACCGGAATGGCACACAGGGATTCCTCGAAGGGACAGCTTTCATATACTAGGTGGCTTTTCAGATATGCATACCCTTGATGGCCTGGGCAGTTCCATGGCTGTTCTTAAAATGAACACCACGGTCTGTACCTTTGATCTGTAGTCTTGAAGGGGGTTCTGGGTCATAAGAATAGTGAACCATTTTCACAGGCCCTTTACAGGAAGCCCCATACAATTAAAAATATATATATATATTTTTAAATCACATTTGGGGTAGAGGAATGATATGGAAGTCAGAAGACAACTTGCAGGAGTTGGTGATCTCCTTCTTCCATGTCCCACGCATCAAACTCGGGAAACAGAGGCAACTGCTTCCTCTTCCTGTCACTTAGTCACACAGTTTACCTGTTCTAAGGCACTGGCAGTCCTCTGTTTCCCTATCTGCATCCTTCAAGATATTCTGTGGACAGCATATAGCACAAAGGCAAATTTATACATAAAGTTGTGAGTGTCTCGATGTCTATAATGACAACTAGTATAAACACATGCACAGGAAAACATAAACATTTATTTGTCCATGTATATGTGCAGAATACTTATGTACAAATGGAAACAATGCTCTAGGCACTGTGCTGCCCCTCCCCCACTTACATATAACCTGGAGATCTTTTTACAGTGGTTTGCCACTTCTTTCTTGAGACAGGACCTCACTGTGTAGCCCAGGCTGACCACAAACTCTTTATCCTCTTGCCTCTGCCTCTTGAATATATCAGGTATGAACCATAATCACAATGCCTCACTGCTGTTTTAGACAGCTGCATATTTTCCATTCTTTCAATGAAACTAGGTACTCTTTTTTCCCCTCCCAAATGAAATATTTTAAATCACATTTTCAATCTCTTCAAATTCTTTAATTCTTTTTGGGTCAGTTTGAAGATTTGCATTCTGATAAGCAGTGAAAGGCCATTTCCCCTTTTAGTTCCAAAAGTGCAATCTGGGAGTTGCACAAACTACCCTCTTAAAAGTTTCACTAACACCCCTGGTGCTGTGGGATGGTCTGTATGTCAAGTGTGTTGCTGATTGGTCAATAAATATATCACTGATTGGCCAGTGGCCAGGCAGGAAGTATAGGCGGGACAAGGAGGAGAATAAAGCTGGGAAGTGGAAGGCTGAGTCAGAGAGACACTGCCAGCCACCACGATGAGAAACAGCATGTGAAGATGCCGGTAAACCACGAGCCACGTGGCAAGGTATAGATTTATAGAAATGGATTAATTTAAGCTGTAAGAACAGTTAGCAAGAAGCCTGCCACGGCCATACAGTTTGAAACCAATACAAGTCTCTGTGTTTACTTGGTCGGGTCTGAGCGGCTGTGGGACAGGCAGGTGAGAGAGATTTGTCCTGACTGTGGGCCAGGCAGGAAAACTCTAGCTACACCCTGGTTATATTATGATGTCATTATTGATCCTGTACATTTTATTGCTTACTCTGGTCAGCTAGACTGGGTTTTACTTGTCGTTCTGTTCTTTGGCAGATTCCTTTTCATTTTAACTCCCGAGGATTCTTGTCTGGAGAACACAACCAGTCCTCTGCCCATCTCTGCAGCTCATTTCACACTCCACACTCCAACATACTGCTCACTAGCCATGACGACCTTCCCTCTATACTTCAATTCCCTACTACCACAGAATCTTTATACTTTCTGGTCCATCTGAATGGACATTCTCTTTGATCTTTCTCAACATTCAAATCTTAGTTTCAGGGCCAGCTCCTCAGAGAGGTGCTTTACCACCCAGTCAATGGAGTACGCCACTAATCGTTCTCTATCTTATATCCCTGGACTTTCTCTTTTAGAGTAATTATATGTGCAAATCTTCACTGCTCATTTTTTATTATCTCAACCGTTAGAAAGCAAGCTTCCCTGGAACAATGATCATTTACCTTGTTCACTGTAAGTTCCTCAGTACTGAGAAAACTTCACAGGTGCAGGCAATTTCCCTCATTTTCCCTATTCTAAGTCTATGCTCTATGAGCTAGAGACTGTATCTATGCACATAACAATGTATAGCTAGTGACCAGCACATTGTGTAACACTGTGTTTATGTTCAAGAAACACTCACTGAAGGACTGGCTACTTGGAGTTCACAAGCCACTCTCAAATCTCTGTTCTTCCCATATACTTTTTGTTTGTTTGTTTGTTTTGGTTTTTGGTTTTTTCAAGACAGGGTTTCTCTGTGTAGCCCTGGCTGTCTTGGAACTCACTCTGTAGATCAGGCTGACCTCGAACTTAGAGATTCACCTGCCTTCACCTCTGCTGGGAGTAAAGGCATGCACCACCACGCCTGGTTCTTTCCATATCCTTTTGCTTCTTGCTATCTGGAATGCAGCCTCATAGTCTCACGAGCAACTTCTATTCATTCATTTGAGAGCCAATTCATGTGAAAGTCTTCTTTAATTCCGTAAGTCAAGTTCACTGTCCTAGGATGTGGGAAGATATCCTGAGCATTTATATTGTATTATGAATGCTGGTTTATCTATTGATCATACTCAAAAGTCCTCAGAAGTGGTAGTTCATGTTTTCACTCTGTCTCTTTAATACCTGGAAGTATTTGACACATAGCTGGCAGACATTTTAAGCAGTGGGAGGAGTAGATGGGCAAGTTCTTGATGAGAGTTAAATTGTTTTCTATTCATTTCCAAAAAGGCAGGACAGAGTAGCTCTATATAGTACATAGTTACATATATATATACTATATGGTTTAAATTATAAGTAACTTCTGTTTTTGGTTTTCATAACGTAGAGATAGGAAAATATACCCAGGAAGGTTTGTGTAAAGCAAGCAGTGATAGGACATAAGGCATATGTAAGCACAAAACATTATCTTCACCAGCACCCAGCAAACTGAAGGTAAAGAGTAGTTTTTAACAAACTTATGAATCTTAGTTTATTTATTATGGAAATACTGCCATTTTAAAGATGACAGACGAGCAGAGAGAAGTTAAGAACTCTACCTTAAATTAGTGCCCTATGTAGTAAGGAACGAGAGAGACACAATCTGAACTCAGGCCATCCGGCTCTAGAGTCTGTTGTCAGGTTATCACCAGGTCACGACGCAAATTTGTCACGTACACTCATTTTCTTAAAATGTCTCAGCTAACACTGCCAACTCTTTGACCTCTTGCTTTGGACCAGTGACGAGAAAGACTCGGAGAATCTCCCCTTGTTGTAATGATCCATCCAAGAATCTCTTCCCGCCTGTCACTGTCATCCCCCTGCAGTACACTTTCAGTTTTGAAACAGAAGTGAAGAGAGGCATTAGACCTGAAACAGGCAATCTCAATTTATAGTTCACATCTCAGGATGCAACTGTAACACCCAATTCGGGGCTTTGGAAACACTGTTAGCCTCACACAGAGACAGAAAAGGATATTTTTTCAGCATGTACAGGGTGGCTAGCCTTGCGGCTTGAAAGTTGGCTCTGACAGTTCTGTAGACGGCTTTCCGCAGGCCGATGAGATGCTGGCTGGGATGCTGTCCAGCTTTATTAAATGAGCAAGCAGCACTGACCCTGTCAAGCAAACTTGAAAAGTAAAATGTGATACAACTGTACAGGTGTCCTAAAGTTTGTGTTTCCTAAATCCACAATTCTATTAAACTTAGAAAAAAATTTCTTTCTTAAAATTATTATAAGTATTTGAAATCAACTATTGCCTCCTTTTTCTTGATACACATAAAGCCACCAAAATACACAAAAAAGACTGAAAATCTAAAATCTCACAGAATATTTAGTCAAATATAGAGAACATGAATTTTAATTGAGACAGAATAGAGATGAGGAATATTTCAGCAGGAATTTATGATAGCTTTCTACATAAAGATACTCTACCTGATAAAATACACTACAGTAGAAGTACTTTACAGGTTTCAAAAGCAGTATCTACAGGTTGTATGAAGGGCTTAATTAACAACACTTTCTCATGCTTAATATGCATTTACATTATGTTCACTAATCACGTCTTTGGGCACATGTACAGAGCAATGAACTACTACAGATAAATACATTCTGTACATTCATAAAAGTAGGGCAAAGTTACTTACCCACCTGCTGCCACTGGCACTTACCTACTCACAATGAAGTAGGAGAGGCAGAGAGGTACCAGGACCAGTGGCCAACAGGGGAACGCAAGCAGAAAGGCAAAGTGAGGGTTACTATGTGGCAGCCAGCTGCGCTCAAGCTCTCACATTTCATGGCTTTCCCTAGGCCGATGGAAAGCATTTGCAACAACGACATGGAATGTGTGGCTTCATGACCGAGAGTAAGCACGGTTAGGTGCTGCAGTTTCTACTATCAGTAACCTCCTCCGATTGCAAGACAACATGTCAGCACTTGTAAACCTTCCTCATAAAAGCACACATCTCTAAAACAGGCACTGGACCACAGTGTTTACAATGTAAAGTCTATGGACAAAGATGGACAGGCTTAACCTTAAGTAAGGGAACCCAGGTAAAGCAAGGTTAGATTATTTGCCAGGAGGAAACAGTGAGGCAGAAACAAAGCACTCCCAATTTCAGCGTGAAATTGTGCTTTGCTGACTCCATTTTGCAGAATGAAATATTTCTAAGACAGTGAGGCAAGGTTTATTGTCCCTTGGGACTTTTCAGCCCAGTGTCCAGCTAGACGGAAACAATGAAATGACTTCTTCCAACACTTCTCCTTACCCACCTGCCACCTGGATGGTACAAAAGCATCACCAGGGGGTGAATCATGCTCAATGGCCCACTTTACCTTTGCATGTCAATTCCATGGATATAGGTAAAAGTCAGAAAACTGACAAGAGTCACAGCACCTTGTACACATGTCTAAGCATTGGTTGGGCGCATAGCCACTCACCCCTCAGGCCTCTCAATAAAACGCTGTGTATGTCAACAACGAAAAGGAGATATTACTTATGTGTGACTTTTTAAATTTCTAAAACTTGGCAAACAACTCAAAATTTGCTATCTACTGGTAAGAACTGGACCTAACCTAACGGAGGGACAAAATCAACACGCACAGGACTGTCATGCTTTGCACTGAACAGCAGAGGGCATAAGACTCTTCCATGTCATCCATACTCTCAGGATTGTTCAAAGAGCAGAGCGTGAAGAGCACAGGACTACAGATTCCTCCGGGTCTCTGCCCCACGACTTCCTAGACAGAGCTTTTAGGGCAAGACGAAGGACCGATCCAGAGCAGAGCAAAGAGAATGATGCAGAGACAACAAGAGGCATCTCTCTCCTGATGTTTACATCTGCCAACCTCAACCAATTAAAGCAGCTATTGTTCGCTGCGTACTTGTTTTTCCCAACTATAAATGGCAACGGAAAAATGTTACATAGTGGGCAGGGGACAAGAGAGGTGATGGGATGTCAACATGATTGGATACATTACGTACGTGTGTGAAAACGTCACAGTGAAACTCACTGTGTAATAGGTGCTAACTGAAACTTTAAAAGTTATATACTGTAGTCTCACTGCCATCCGTGGACATTTAGTAGGTAGCCTAGTATACTGGAAATGGGCTTCTGAAGTCAGATGAGACGGATCTGAATAAGTGCTCTGTGAATACCTTTAGTTGTCTGTAAAAATGATTAGCACAGCATATGGAACATAGCTGGTCCTTGATGGGAATGTCTTTCTGTATGGTGTGAATACGTGTTGCTCTGATTGGTTGATAAATAAAGCTGTTTGGCCAATGGTGAGGCATAAAGTTAGGCAGGACATTCCACCTAGAGACAGAGGAGAAAGACAGAGCAGAGGAGATGTCCCCCCCACCCCATGAGAGGTAAGATGAAAGATACTGGTAAGCCACAAGTCACATTGCAAAGTATAAATTTATAGAAATGGGTTAATTTAAGATATAAGAACTATATAACAAGAAGCCTGCCACAGCCATAGTTTAAAAATAATATTGCCGGGCGGTGGTGGCGCACGCCTTTAATCCCAGCACTCGGGAGGCAGAGCCAGGCGGATCTCTGTGAGTTCGAGGCCAGCCTGGTCTCCAAAGCGAGTTCCAGGAAAGGCGCAAAGCTACACAGAGAAACCCTGTCTCGAAAAACCAAAAAAAAAAAAAAAAAAAAAAAAAAAAAAAAAAAAAAAAAAAAAAAAAAATAATAATATTATGTATGTGTTTATTTGGGTCTGAGTGGCTGCGGGACTGGGCAGGACACAGGAAAACTTCTGACTACAGGTACCCAATAAGTGCAATGCCCCTGCCCTGTGTGTGTGGTATGTGGTGTATGCACATATCTATGTAGATATAGATGCCAGTGTACTCAGGAGGCCAGGTGTCCTGCTTTTTCATGAACCACTTTATTCTCTTGAGACAGGTTCTATCATTAAGTCTAGAGCTAGGCTGGCGGCCAGTAAGCCTCAGCAATGCTTCTGTCCCCACTCCCCTACAGCTCTGGGGTTACAGCTACATCACATGGCCATGCCTGGTTTCTAACACAGGTGCTGGGGATGTGAACTCAAGTCCTTATGCTTGCACAGATGTTCTTACCTGCTGAGCCATCACCCTAGCCCTACATTCTCCCTTTAGTAAGTATCTAGCATATCCTGGAGCATAAACGTTGACAGCTAGACTGCTAACCATTTCGTTTCCAATGGGAGCATGCAACATCATTATTAGCATGATATTCTAAAAGTGCTGGTGCTACAGCAGCTGCTAATGGTTACCCAGGGAGTGTTATTAATATATGTCTAGATTTTCAAGTGAATCACACCAGCTACACCTACTATCTAAACTGGGCAATGAGGTCTTCCGACAGGGAATAAAGGAAGCAAACATTTATTGAGTAACCACTGCACATGCATTTAGTGTTAAACACTGTCACTGTTTCATCCAGTCACACAGTCATAGGCCAAAGCAACTATGATTGTCAAAACAGTTTTCACAAAACATGAATCCAAGTAGATAAGCAAAGCCCTACTACACACCCATCTAGCATGTAACGACTTTAAACCTTTGACAATAGGCTACGTGGACTTCCCCTGCCACCACTGTAACACAGAAATAAAAACGTGATATTCTCCTTCAAGTAAATAGCAGAACAGAATCATTTAAAAAATAAAGTGAGAAATGAACTCACAGAGTAAATCCCCTGGAGATGACTTCAGTTTCTTGGATAAGACGTAGAGATTTCCTCACAAGGTTGGTGAAGGCTCGGCTATTTGCTGCCATATCTTCCAAACGGACCCTATATTTTTTCAGAGTCATTTGCAGTTTGGCTGTCCTCCATAATTTCAAAGCTCGCATGATCAAGTAAAGAAATAGAATTATTCCCCATACCATCCAGGAAGACACAATCCACCAAGTGGGAAGCATAACGAGCAAGCTGATGAAGGCAAGGAGCACGGAGACATCCCTGTGAACACAGAACCCAAGGAAAAGAGCCATCAGACAGGAGAGGGAGGGCAGTCACTGGAGTCAGCAAAAACAAGGGCCGATCTCAGTTCATTAAACAAAACTCTAGCTTCTTTAGGAGGCAATACTTTAAAAATGCGACATACAACAAGGTGATGTGGAATAGTTTTAAGCATCCAGCATGTTAGATAATGTTGCCCAGGTAATAAAATCTGAGCTAGTGAATTTAGGTAAAGGACATTGGCAAGAAGTGTTTTTTACAACTGTTTTAGGAAGTATGGTATTTAATATGTAATCAGATTAAAAACCTCAATTTTATAGACTATATTTTAAAGTAAAATAGTATCTCAGAGATAGTTTGAGTTTGTTTTGCCCAAAGCCATTTGCACAAAAACATAGTCTACACAGAGGCTACTCTATGCTTTACTTGCAGGCAGGATGGTGCATGCCTACGATCCTAGCACTTAGGAGGTTGGAGATACATATATATGCTACAAAATAAACCCTTGTCTCAAAAGATCAAAGTCAAACAACAACAATAAAACACAGTTGGTAACTGAATGGTTATCTAATTTAATAATCATCACTAACTTGAACAAACATTTTTGCCATAGATCACGAAGTAGAAAAGCTGTGCACTTCCCGTACTACATTAATGGCATTAAAAGTATGCATAAAGCCGGGTGGTGGTGGCACACGCCTCTAATCCCAGCACTTGGGAGGCAGAGCCAGGCGGATCTCTGTGAGTTCGAGGCCAGGCAGGGCTACCAAGTGAGTCCCAGGAAAGGCGCAAAGCTACACAGAGAAACCCTGTCTTGAAAAACCAAAATAAACAAACAAATAAATAAATAAATAAATAAAATAAAATAAAATAAAAGTACGCATAAAATCTTTATTTGGGTCAATTAAGCAATGACAACTTTGGTGAGATGTGTATACATAAGACAGAATACAGGCGAATGTATCCAAGCACCTGTGAACACAGCATCGGCCACACTTGGGAGTTACAGTCATACTGAGAATGTCGTGTGAGAACGCTTTTTATGTGCTGCATGGGCTATCACTTTCCACCTTACTCTTTGAAACAGGGTCTTTCAGTAAAGCTCCTCACTTTGACTACACCATCTGGCCACCAAGGCCTCTGGGTCTGCTTCTGTCCACCTTCGTGTGGCCACCACACCGGGCTTTTAGACTTGATGTGGGCGTCAGGGATCTGAATTCAGGCACTAATACTGCTGTGGGAAGCACTTTACCACTGAGCCACCTCCCAGCTTGGAGAATGATTTTTAATAATTGTTAGCCCTAACTTCTTCCAGAATTCATTACTTTTAGTAAAATCGTAAGTTAAAATCACATCATTTACTTTTACATATTAACAGCTGTAGTGGTTTGAATGAGAATGGCCCCCACAGGCTCCTATGTTTGAATACTTAGTCACTAGGGAGTGGAGCTGTCTGAGAAGGATTAGGAGGTGTGGCCTTGTTGGAGGAGGTGTGTCACTGGAGGTGGACTTTGAGGTTTCTCTCTGCCTGCTGCCCATGGATTAGGATGTAAAGCTCTCAACTGCTCCTCCAGAGCCATGCTTGTCTGCTTCCTGTCATGACGACATGGACTAACCTAAAACTGTAAGCCAGCCCCCAAGGAAATACTTTCTTTTATGTTGCCTTGGTCATGGTGTCTCCTCACAGCAATAGAACAGTAATTAAGGCAACAGGAAACTCTAAAAGCATTTACAAAATCTCCTCATTGCTCAGCCAGTCCCCTTTATGGAAATCTGTGTGTGCCCATGTGTGTGTACATGCCTGTGCATGTGTGTATGCGTGGGAGGCCAGAGGCCAACTGTAAGTGTCATTTCTTGGGTGCCAACCACCTTGTTTTTTATTGTTGGTGTCACTGTTTCTTTTTGTGAGACAGAGTCTCTCTGTATAGCCCTGGCTGTCCCGCTACTTGCTATGTAGACCAGGCTGGCCTCAAACTCAGAGATCCACCTGCATCTCCCTCCTGAGTGCTTGGATTATGGGCGTGCACCATCACAACCGGCCCATTTTGTTTTTGATCTTTCCAAATAGGTTAGGCTGGCTAGCCGGTGAGCCCCAGGAAGCTGCCTGTCTCTGCCTCCCCAGCACTGGGATTACAAGCACATGCTACCAAGCCGAGCTTTTTAAAAAAAATGTGGCGGGTTCCGGGATTGAACTGAGGTCTTCATGCTTGCATGGCAAACATTTAGCAATTGCTATGTCTCTAGCCCTATAAATGCTTAACATCTATGGTTCAATTTGTTTATATACCTATTTATAATATGCACATAAGTATCTATTTTTGTGGGTCTTTTAGAGACAAGGAATTCACTGTGTTGTCCCGGCTGGGCTTGAACTCTTGGGCTCAAGCAAGTCTTTTAGTAGCCTAGACTATAAGGACACTTGTGGGACTCTAGGTACACACCACGGTGCCAGGCAAATTCTTCTATTTTTAAAGAGAAAAATGTTTATTTTCTCATGATGGTATTTCAGTGACTGCTGGCTGGGAAACACACTTGGGTACCCATTACAATGTGACAGGAAAGGGATTCGGAACACAGGACGGTTAACACTTGTGTGATGTGAACAGAACACAGGACGGTTAACACTGTGTAACGTGAACAGAGCACAGGACGGTTAACACTGTGTAACGTGAACAGAGCACAGGACAGTTAACACTGTGTAACGTGAGCAATTTGGGCAGTGACTTTGTACATTCCCTGATTCATTCTTCCCTTCTGTCTTACATGACAAACGAACAGGAGAAAGGCATCAGTGATTCCCACACATACGGACATACAGAAAATCTTTCAGTATTTATCTTTTCCTTTTTGAAAAAACTATTTTAAGACACATTATGACCTAGGACTTTTGCATTAGACCCAAATATTTTCAGTAGCTGAAAGGTTTCAGGATTGTTTTTGTTTGACTGTTTCTTTTCTTTTCTTTTGAGACAAGGTCTTTGCTATATTGCCCAGGCTGGACCCTAACTACTGGGAACCGGTGATCCTCCTGCCTCAATTCCTCAAGTAAGCTTTGGAATAGTTCAAACCGTTAGTTATGTTATCAGTTGATCTCTTCTCAGCCAACATAGCAGCAAGTGATGCTTTATCTCCATGTCTCAACCCTTAGTGTCTCTGTACACAGCTCTGACGCCATCTGGCTATGGCTAGGGCTGGCAGGCACACTGCGTTGCTGTACATTTATCCCTGATAGCTGAGTTGCTAAGCACACAACTAATTTCGCTAAGTTGGAAACACATGGTAACTTTTCTAGCACTTTGGTTTTATTTTGTTTTGAATCTCTGGCCTATTGCTGCCTTTGCTGTAATTCTAAACATAAGGAATGTTCATAAGGCCTTTACAATAGAGAACGGTATGGCGGATTTCTTCTGCCAACAGTCTGCATGTAAGCAGTCAAAAGAGAAATGTTTCCGGACAGTACCAAACATTCGGGGTTGCCAGGGAGCGGAGTGCTGGAAGGTGTCCATCTTCCTGTTGAGGGTGCCCTGCGGACAGGATGCTGGGATCAAGTAGCTCAATTAGCTCCACATCCTCTTGGAGCAGGACTTCCTGCTGAAGGATGGTGTGTAGTGAGTCCAGTCGGAATCCAGTATCCTTGCCATCAAAACACAGGAAGAGATGTATTAATGCATCTGTAATACTGCACTGAATGCTAGGTTTAATATAATTAATTTAGTTCACAGCTACAGGTGTTTATTTTCAAAGTAGAATCCTAGAAGGAACAACAATTCAGTCTCTCCTTAGGGTGACAGGCTTTATTTTCACTGTAAATACAAAACCATAAAGACTGAGGTGGACATTATTAAGCTACCAGTTGTGAAAAATAAACCTTTAGTAATGCGATGTGAAGTAATCACAGATTCATAAACCTAGTCATTTACGCCCTCTGAGTTAAATACTGGTACGCAATGTGAACAATAAAATACACACAGAAAAGACAATACAAGAGATGCTGACAGTGGACACTGTAACACAGAGCCCGTGTGGTGCTCTGAAGGAGAATGGCCTCATAAATTCAGGTTTGAACACTTGCTCCCCAGTTGGTAGAACTGTCTGGGAAAGATTAGGGGGTGTAACGCTGTTGGAGGTGTGTCACAGGGATAACGGGCTTTGAGGTTTCAAAAGACTTGGGCCATTTTCACGTGCTTTCTGCCTCTTGCTTGAGGATCAAGATGTGAGCCCTACCAAGGATTCTAACCCTCTAACACCATAAGCTGAATTAAATGCTTCCTTTTAAAAGTTGCCTTGGTCATGGTTTTGTGACTGCAATAGAAAAGTAACTAATACAGTCAGTATCTAAGAACTTCATCAGAGGGACCAAGGCCTTCTAAAAGTGGACACTCAGACACTGAAGACAAAAAAGCAAGACTCTACAGTCTCTTGTAGATAGAAGTCTCTGTCCTGCCTGGTCCCGAGGCCGTGAATTCAGTCCCAAATAAACACATGGAAACTTTATTAATTATAAACTGTTCAGCCTATTGCTCGGGCTTATAACTAACTAGCTCTTGTACTTAAATTAACCCATAGTTCTTGGCTGTGTTTAGCCACGTGGCTTGGTACCTCATCTTACTTCCTCTGCATTTGGCTGGTGACTTGGTCTCTGTCTTTCCTTTTCCCAGTCTTAGTCTAGTCTGGTCGCCCGCCTACACTTCCTGCCTGGTTACTGGCCAATCAGCGTTGTATTAAACCAACGGGAGTGACAAATCTTTACAGTGTACAAGAGCATTATCCCACAGCAGTCTCTTCTTTGAGAAGCCCTGAAGGTCATGCCTCAGGCATGCCAGGCCAGCACTCTGTCACCCAGTCACAACCCAGTCTGTAAGTCTCTACACTTAAGGCCTTGGGAACACTGAAAGTAAATGATTACAATAAACGTGTACATTGGGGACAGAAGCTGCTAGAACAGTGCCCTGAAGCACAGAAGCCCCGAAGTCAGAGAAAATAAGAGGGAAGAAAAGCTGAGCTCGGCTTACAGCGTGAACGGAACTGACTGGAGCAGCAGGGAGGTGCAACAGAGAGGAGTCTTTCTGTCTGTGAGAGCGGAGTTTGCTATCAACTGTGAGCACATGGCAGAGGGTGAGAGACGAGGGAGCCGTGTTTGAACAGGAAGTTAGCTCTCACAGTAGCCTGTGATGCACACTCACAGAGGCTGAGTAACTTCCCACAACCTTTATTTCAAAGCTTAAGTCTTTGGTAGCTATTTCTTGTTTATTTATTTAAATTTTTTTTTTTTTTTTTTTTTTTTGGTTTTTCGAGATGGGGTTTCTCTGTGTAGCGCTTTGTGCCTTTCCTGGAACTCGCTTGGTAGCCCAGGCTGGCTTCGAACTCACAGAGATCCGCCTGGCTCTGCCTCCCCAGTGCTGGGATTAAAGGCGTGTGCCACCACCACCTGGCTTATTTAAATTTTAAATGAAATTTATTAGTTTTGTATTTAGAGCATGTGTGTGGGGTACACAAGGAGACCAAAGGACAACTCATAGGAGGCCACTGCTTCCCTCTACTGTGTGGATCCCAGGATCCACCTCAGACTGTCAAGCTTCACAGCAAGTGCCTTGACCCCAGGAGCCATCTTTCTGCCCCTGGTCTGTTTAATACCCAAGAACATAAGCTTAGGCAGGGCATGGTGACTTATGCTTGCAATCCCAGCACTTGGAAGGCTGGAACAGGAGACAGCCACAGTTCTGAGATGAGGCTGGGCTATTTAGTGAGCCCTGGGCTATCCTGGGCTACAGAGTAAGACTGTCAAACAAAAACAAAACAAAAGCAGAAGCAAAGTAAAACAAAACAACATAAAATTATATTAATGGGGCTCTGTGTGAGTTTTGATACATACATATTGTGGGATGCTTACACCAGGCTAAACATATCTGTCTTCTCAAACGTTTATCATGTCCATATGGTGAAAGTTTCCAAAATCCTTTCTTACGGTTTTTGAAATATACAGTATATTAATGACATTTATAGACAGCCTACTGTGCTCTATAACTTAAGCAAGGTGTTAACTTCTCAGTGACCATTTCCTCATCTGCAAAGGGGTTAAACAGGACCTACTTCAGAGGATTAAATAGGTTGACATCCACAAGGCATGAAGAGTTTCTATAGAAAGTATTATGTGTGCTACCACATGTGAAATAATTAAGAGCCAACCCTCCTAAAACGTGTTATGTTTATGCAACATAACATAACACATAAGCATAGGTAATTGTGATCAGGCTGGTAAAGGAAGGAAGATCCAGAAGAGCTAGAGCTGCTTACTGAAAAGACTGCCACAGACTGAGAGAAAACAGGGAGGAATTCCATCACAGAGGAGCAGCATAAATACCACCCTAAGGATAAAGAAGATGGCAGACTGGGTCCATGGACAGGAACCGCGGTGGCAAAGTGGGCAGGGGAAGTAAGGGTTAAACTGTGTGGACTCTTCAGTGCTGAAGGGATGCTAAGTTGATGTGATGGATAACAGCACTTTCGGTTTTCTAAAAAGTGTCACTACTCAAGCTGGAGAAGCGGCGTGTTTTACTGGAGAGAGCACAGGCTTTGCATTCAGACCTGGGTTCAAGCTCTCCCTCAATTCCTGGCTGAACATTCTTGGACCATTCACTTAGAAAGTTATTAGGCAAAGCTGTCTAAACCTTGGCTTTCTCTCACTGGTACAACAGATCAAATCTTATACTGTGGTTTAGAGTAGCATTCAATCAAAATGGGAAAGCATTTTGTAAATGACTGCTTTACAAAAGTTCATTTAAAAAGAACGGTAATTCTTAGGGTCACAGGCCAGCAGAGAATCCTAATGCCTGTTCATCTGCAAGCTGGTCACATCTTTGAGTACCAAGAGAACTTAGCACGTGGAACGTTCTAGGCATGCTGCATTGACGGTACACTGGTTGGTGGTAAGGCTCACTACTTGCCTCATCAGAGGTTGGGCTAAGCAACAGATACACTGCAGTAGAGAGAGAGAGGTGGAGGGAGGTGGAGAGGGAGGGAGGGAGGTGGGGAAGGAGGGAGGGAGTTTTACAGGAACCAGAAAGGCCATCAGTACTGACTCTGGGAAGTGTGAGTTTCAGTCCCTCAGGACTGGACTGGCTGTGCCAATCGTTACATTTATTTCCTTCCTGAGAAGGCAGTAAATTAGCAGTCTAACAAACAGGGCACCAGTAACCCCGGAACATTTCTAAGAAATATGAACAATCCCCGCAAGCCCCGTTTAAAGGCCTCCAGTTACTGTAGTAGAATTTCTAATAAAGATCAATTACATCAGGACCATAGCAAAGCAGATTTTGGTTCCTCGGTTCTCTCACGATGGTACAGGACCCTGGAGAGAGTAAGAAAACCAAGACAAGGAACGGACACTCACCAACTTGTGGAGTAAGGCATCCTTCCTACTGCACTGAGAAGAGAAAGTCCAGCTCTTGATGGTGTCTGTCAGTCTGAACAGGATGCCTGGCTAAAGATTATGAATGGCATGTGTAGGATTAGTAATTAAATACACTCAAAAGGCAGAAAAAGTAAACAACTGACCTCTAAGTAACTGGGATTTTTATCAGAAAGAGAGAAAAAAACTGTTCAGGTTATTCACGCTTGTCAGCGCGTCACAGCCTCCCCACTTACACCCACTCTAGTCACGCAACAGAAGGACCTAGGAATTGTACTTGGGATTACACTCCCCGGCCCTTCAATTAGAGTTTACTACAATGGATTGAAAGGAGGCATGTAAATCTGATTTTTTAAGGAATAGTCAGAAGTCACCATAATGTAGCCCATTTATCTTAGGAATACTAAAGGCTATCTGTATCATGTGATGATTATATTTATTTCAGAATGAAATTACAGTGTGGTCCAAATTCTCAGTATGAATATCATTTTGTTATAAAATACTAAAGCAGAAAGATATTTTGACCCTTTTATAAAAACTGTCATGTACCAAAAGTTTTATAAATGAATCAAATATGTAATTTACCTTAACAGCTCCATTCCCTGAGCATGCCAGTATATGAAGTTTATAATCATTTAGTAGGGCTGGAGAGATGGCTCAGCCGTTAAAGGCAAGGCTCTCAACCAAAAATACAATCACTTAGTGAGTTCTATGTCCCAGGTACTGCAAATAGCCACGGGAACAAAGATGAATGCCAGAAGTGCCATTTTAAAGAACTTCATAGAGAAGTAAAGAGAGAACAAACAGATCTCGGCAATGAAAGTCCTCATCCAAACGAAAAATCACCGTGATACTCTTAGAAAAGTCACCAGCAACTCAGGCAGCAATTTTCAAGGCCCAGCATTCTGACTGCATCACCCAAAGTTATACTAGTTTGATATCTGCACGCTTAAGAATGATGGTAATTACAGGAAACAAAGACTTGAAATACTTTCTTATAGTCATTCTTCTCCGAATGAATTTTCATTTGGGACTAGGACAGACTTCCTAAACTTTATTTATTTCTTTTTCTTTCTTAAAACTATTTATTTATTTATTTTACATTCCAGCCACAGTTTCTCTTCTCTCCTGTCCTCCCAGTCTCTCCTCTCCACCCTCCTCTGTCCCTACCCACCTCATCTACTCCTCCTCCATTTCCGTTTAGGAAAGGGCAGGTCTCCCTTGAGTATCTACAAAACATGGCATATCAAGTTGCAGTAAGACTAAGCACCTCCCCATGTATTAAGGCTGGGCAAGGCGACCCAGTATGGGGAGTAGGGTCCCGAAAGCCAGTGAGAGAGTCAGAGATAGCCCCTGTTCCCACTGTTAGGAGTCCCCCAAGAGGACCAAGCTACACAACTACAACATATATGCAGAGTGCCTCAGTCAGTCCCTTGGAAGGCTCCCTGGCTGTCGGTTCAGTCTCTGTGAAGCCCTATGAGCCCAGGTTAGTTGATTCTGTGAGTTTCCTTGTGGTGTCCTAAACTTTCTGACTGGCCTTAATCACATGCTTGCCACTTTGTGTGTTTTTATAATAAGAGGGTTCTCAGCACTGACAATCATAGAATCAAAACATCAACAAATTCTGAAAAAGGGTGAATATGTTTTGCATCCTACAGTATCAAATATTCAGCAAAGTTTGACCTCTTCATATGAAAATAAACAAGCACATCAATCAGTTGTACACAAATTGTCTTTTTTTTCTTTTCGAGACAGGGTCTTTCTGTTATATAACCCTGGCTGTCCTATAACCTATAACTCCCTATGTAGACCAGGCTGGCCTCAGAAACCCACCTGCCTCTGCCTCCCAAGTGCTGGATTAAAGGCATGTACCCCCATGCCCAGCAGCTTTTGACTTTAATACATGGTCAAACCATAATGCATACAAATAATTATTTTAAAATAAATTTTGCTATGATTTATTATCAGAAAACATTTGATTTATATACCTGTTTTTTTTTTTTTGGTTTTTTTTTGGTTTTTTGAGACAGGGTTTCTCTGTGTAGCTTTGCGCCTTTCCTGGAACTCGCTTTGGAGACCAGGCTGGCCTCGAACTCACAGAGATCCACCTGGCTCTGCCTCCCGAGTGCTGGGATTAAAGGCGTGCGCCACCACCGCCCGGCATATACCTGTTTTATATAGCTAGATACTCAGGGTTACATAAAAATTTCTTGGGCAAAAGGGGTCATGAGTGGAAGAAGTTTAAGGAGCTCTGAGCTAGGGCAATTATGACTCAAGAAGAGATTTAAAGAAACTTAAAAGATGTACTGACTCCATAAATATGTTCATTTACTTCCATGATTAATAGACTGTTTCTTTATGCAAGAACAGAGTGTTGTTCTTGATAAAGTTAACACAAGACATTAATGTTGAGTCCGACTTTCTCTCTCTTTTGAAAACATAATACTCAATTCTACACAACTTGTAAGAGGAGTTCTGGAGAGCTGGCTGGAAGTTGGGGTAGATATCTGCTGATCTCACACAGGTCTAATGCATTGAGTCAAGGCAGACATGGTGTGGCGTTCATGGTCACTGAAGCAGGTACTTCCATTTAAGCCAGAATCTTATGGTCAGCCACTTGGTTGGGTCTTCTGCATTTTTGGAGATTTTGTAATATTCTGCTGGGTTGAGGGTACCTGGGAGTGTGGCCAGGGACCAGGGCTTATACACCAGCAGCAACATCTTGATGCACTGCCACACCACGACACCTAACTGTTCAATTTTTACATGTAAGTTTACAAAAAACAAAAAACCCGGTAGGGCTGGGTGTGTGTGTGTGTGTGTGTGTGTGTGTGTGTGTGTGTGTGTATGTGTGTGTGTGTGTGTAACTCTGGTGGAATTAATGTGTGCTTGGTATAGAGAAGCACCATGTTTAAACCACAGCATCAAAACAAAAAGAACCCCAAGGAACAACGGAAATTGGCTGGCAAGATGGCTCATCCAGTAAGGTCTCTTGTCACCAAGCTGGACCGCCTGAGTTCGGTCGCCAGAACCCACAGTGGAAGGAGAGAACTGACCCTTCCAAGTTGCCAGTGTAGAAAAAATAATTAAAAAAAAACAAAAACAAAAAATGATCTAATGAACTATCACTATCACTGGCAATGTTCTAACTAAGGTTTTAGCACATTTCTGTGGTCCTCTTCAGATAATTTAAATATTTAAAGTAAGATATGTCAATTCTCAAATCATTTTCGTTTGCTCAGTGCATATAAATCACTCACAAAAGTCCCAGAAGAGCAGTAAGGACAGAAGTTTGTCTTTGACAGGTGTATCCCATCAGTGAACTAGTCTTATTAGTGTGAGTAGGAACTGAACTCAGGGCCTTGTGCATGCTAAGCAATCACTGCTACCACTGAGCTACATCTCTGGCCCTCAAGGATAGTTTACGTAACCTCCGAGGTACAGAACAAAAGAGTAAGCCATAGAAGTTGAGCACACTTTCTTACTTTTGGTAGGACTCTTGTGGGAGGTTTTTGAGGTCCCTCTGTTGGCAAGCACTTTTCTGTTTTTGGTGGCAAAGAAGAACATATTTCAAAATCTGTGTGTCCCAAATCCTGTAAGTACTGGTACAGTGGAGAATTCTGAAAGAAACAGGAAATGAAGCAAATTTCAAGATCACTCATGTTTCAAAAGTTTTAGGATCAAATTCAGAGTCACACCTGAATATCAGCTCATGTCACATTTCTTATGGCTTCTCTTATGAAAACTGAAATGTAAAATGCCATCGAACACCAACAAATCAACCAACATGCAACAAAAAGACCCAAAAAGGAAAAGCTCTAAACAGACACACATTTTTTTGAGTGAACACTAGCAAGAAAAATGAACTCAAAATTATAAATAGATTTAAGCAATTTTTAAATCCAAATTTTTGTTGTCTTTAAGTAGAACATTCCAAAACAGGCAGTGCTGGTTATTGATAACTGAGAGGGCCTAGAGGGAAAGTTATTAGTTAAAGCCAGGCATTAAATATAGTCATTATAATTTTATGTGTAATGTTATACGTAACACACATTACTTTATTTAGTACTAATATGCACATTACACACCATGCTTGACACTACAATGGACCCAAGGACTTTAGGAAAGCTATCACTCACACATCAGATAATGAAGCTCCGAGAGAGGCTGGCTTAAAATAAGCATGAGATCACAGTGGTAAGAACACAAACAACCGCCATGGGAGTGATATCACACCCTCCATTCCCAGAACGAGGGAGGAGGAAAGGCAACCTACTTGTTAAGACCCTGTCTCACAACAGACAAATAAAAAAATAAAATCAACTCTGGAAGCAAAATTTAGGTTCATCAAATTCTAACTCCGACTGTCCCTAGCTAAGTCATCTGTGGCAATTTACAAACCATGGATGCTCCGCTGTCTCACCTGAGACAAGATACTTCCATTTAATGCAGAGAGGACTCAACATGGTGCTATACACCTTTACTCTCTTTGCTCGGGAAACAGAGGCACATGGAGTTTTAAGCTAGCCTGGTCTACACAGTGAGACTATGTCTCAAAAACCAAACCAAACCAAACCAAACCAGGGAAGACTTGGAGCAGTCCCCGGCATGTATCTTTTTGTAAGTTATATGCAAAGGGTATAGGTTATGGAACAGACCCCTGGCCTGCCCCAAGGGTTGTGTATCAGTTTCCTCCAAGACTGAAACATCCTACCCTGCAGGGAAGCCCTTCAAGCAGGAAGATAAACAACGCGAAATACCTTCAGGAAGTCCTGAAACTGACCAAACTCACTAGGCCCCTCCCTGCCAGAGAAAGCAATAAAAGCGGCTATTCCTTCTCAAGAAAATATGAGCTGCAAAGACTTCCAGAGGAGCAAAGCTGTAAAGAACACCATGAGACCAGACTGTGGGAGAAGCTGACACCAGCCAGGATGTTTACGAGAGGTTTAGGTCACCTGAGGCACTGGGAAGGACAGCTCCAAGCTGCTGAGCTGCCTGCAGGCTGTGCAGTGTGCTCCAGGTTCCCGGGTTTGGGAGCTGTCACCCCTGCTGGGGTGGGCTTTGGTGGTGCAGCTGTCTGTGAGTCATTTCTACTCCTGTAAGTAACTCCTCACCCCTACTCCTGTAAGTAACCCCATAAAACTCATTGGGTTACCAACTTGGACTTTGGTGGTATCTGTACTTTGGTCTGTTGTGGGCTCCCTATCTGGGGTAAGGAGACATGTGTAGCATCTCCCCAGGAAAAGTTTTGTCATACAACAGCAAGTCATCCCAATTCTATTAGATGAACATCCTATTAGATGAACATTTATTAAGAAACTTATTGTGGATCAATAGCAAAAATTAATTTTAACCTTCCAACTTTTCTAAAGTAAAAATTGGGTAACATGTTTGAAAATAATAATAATAATAAAAAAAAAATAAGGCGTTAGAGGGATGGCTCAATGGTTAAGAGTACTTACTGCTCTTGCAGAGGACCTGAGTTTGATTTCCAGAACCCATACGGTGGCTAACAACCATGTGTAACCCCAGTGTGAGGGAATCCAACAGTCACATACATGAATACATGCAAAACATTCATATATATAAAGTAAAATGAAGAAACAAACAAACTTTGGGGGGTGAGAGATGGCTCAGCAGTTCAGAGCACTTGAGTTCTTGCAGAGGACCCAGCACCCACCATGGTGGCAGCTTACAACTGTCCATAACTAACTCCACGTCTTGGAGATCTGACATCCTCTTCTGACCTCCACAGGCACCAGGCATGCACTTGGTAAACAGACATCCATATAAAACACCCATACATACAAAATAAACAAATCTTTTTTTAAAGCTTTGATTCCATTCAGTGAAATACCCAAATCTTAAAAAACAAACAAGAACACCAAAATCTGTTAGAAAATCTGTGTTAGAGAGGGTCATAAAACAGAGCGGCCAAACTAAGTTAGGCAAGAAAGAGACCGACTCTCCAAAAATATCTAGTTTATTTAGAAATAGCAAAGGACTGAAATCGGGGGTGCTTATGTGCCAATGCGGACACACTCAGTGGGCTGAAATCTGGGGTGCTCATGTGCCATGGTGGACACACTCAGAGGGCTGAAATCTGGGGTGCTCATGTGCCATGGTGGACACACTCAGAGGGCTGAAATCTGGGGTGCTCAGGTGCCCATGGTGGGCACACTCAGAGGGCTGAAACCTGGGGTGCTCAGGTGCCCATGGTGGGCACACTCAGAGGGCTGAAATCTGGGGTGCTCAGGTGCCCATGGTGGGCACACTCAGAGGGCTGAAACCTGGGGTGCTCAGGTGCCCATGGTGGGCACACTCAGAGGGCTGAAATCTGGGGTGCTCATGTGCCATGGTGGACATACTCAAGAGGGTTTGGGCAAGGAAGGGTCTTAAGGCCCCAACAGTCACTGATTACAGGGGCTGAGGGAAGGGTCTAAGTTTTATTCACTGGAGCTCCTGGCTGTGGCTAGTGGAGGGTCTGCATAGAACTGGCATAACCAGAAAACGTTAAGTTCGGGGGAAATCCTCTGTGATGGTGCCTGTTACTGTCACGTATACATCAAGCACATACAGGGACTCCAGGGAATGTTTTGCTTGGGTTGGGCATAAGTGATTCGTGTTGGGTACAGACAACTGTGACAGAGCTAACTTTTGTGGCAAAATCTCAAGTATTTGTACCATCTCACCCTAAGTTCTAAGGGGCATCCTCACTGTTAGTGTTACTCTTATCTGGATGACAAGAGATTCACTCAGTCAGAGAAATGGCACTGAATAAATAAATAATAACTACAAAGCCAACACTATGAAATATTACAGTAAATGAATACTGAGAAACCCCTGAGCTGTCTAAATAAGTGGGTCACAACCTGTAGGTCAAACCTTTGAGGTCAAATGACCCTTGTGAAAAACCTAAGACCATCAGAAAACATGGCTATTTACATTACGATTCATGACAGTAGCAAAATGACAGTTATGAAGTAGTAATGAAAATAATTTTATTGTTGGGGTCACCACAACGTGGGGAACTGTATTAAAGGGTCTCAGCAATAGGAAGGTTGAGATCTACTGGTCTAAATGAAGAAAACACCAAAGAAGCTTACTTATAGCTTTTTTCCAGAGAAAATAGACAATTACAGGAATGTGGGAGACCAGCTCCCACTTTTTCCCCAGGGTACTCTGGAGGAGAGAGGGATAAAAGATATTAGATAGAAATATAGAGGGGTGAGAGGCAGATAGAAACACAGGATAGCCTCGGGAGGGCCTGGATCATTATCCACCGGTCCCTTCTAGCTCTTCTAAAGGGCTATTTATAGGAATGCCAAGGGGTGGAGCCAAAGACCTCCCCCTAGCACAGCCAAGTGCAGACCCTTCCAATCACCTGGTAACCATGCATGTGGTCAAGCAATTCTCTAATGCAGCGCTGCTGGTAAAGCAAGCTCAGATCTCACTATGAAACCTTTGTGGGCCTCCACACAGGAATATATGAGAATGTTATGGAAACAGGAGAGACACCTAACTTAGACTCAGGTTTTGGGGGACTATAGCCTTGAGTTAGCTATTTGATGAAACTCAGTGTAAGAGACCAGGTATATGAGACAAATGCCTTCTTTTTAATTTCAATGTTAAGAAAAATACTCTAAACAGTATAAGGAAAAATGTTCCTTATCTCTATTTAATTTTTAAGTTTCTGATAGCACACAGGTTAAGTTTCTCTGAGACAGGGGCTTTCTATTATAGCACTAGCTGGCAGGCCCAGAACTTTACCATCTTCTTGCCTTGGCCTCCCCCGTGCTAGGGTTATGAGCATGGGCCATCACACCCGGCTCCGAATTGTTAACTGGCTTTGCAGGATTGCTGGTTTTGGAGACGGGTCTCCTGTAGCCAGCCTGGCCTGGATTTGCTGCAGAGACAAGACAGACCTTGGTCTTGTGACCCTCCTGCTGTTTCTGGTGGTTAGTGTGTGCTGGGGACAGAGCCCGGGGCTTTGTGTGAGGCAAGCATTGTATCAACCAAGCTATCCCCCAGCTTCCAAAGGGTTCATTTTAAAACTGCCTATCACGTTTACTGAAATACTGCCTAGGGTTACTCAATCTGTATTCTCAAGTTGACCCTTGAGCCCTACCCTGTTCTGCCTTTAGGGTGGCAAAAGAACACTAGCTCATTGGTTTGGCTCCACCTTCTGAAAAGTTTACATACTAAAAAAACAAAAACAAAAACCCAAACCCCAAACTTGCTTTGAGAACCCTTTCTTCACAGGAACTCCTAGGGGGAAGAATAATAAATAGGATGGATCAAAGTGAAGTTACTTTAGCTTTGCAGGCCACGTGGTCTCTGCTAGAAGAATCAAGTCCACTGCTGCAGAGGACTCAGAAACAACCAGCACATAAACCCCGAGTGTGCTTACGACCCAGTAAAACTTTATACCCAGTGTAGTACGGAATTCCTACCAGCTTCATGTTATACAGTAGAGTCATTTTGGTATTTTCTCTGATCATTTCTCTGATCTTTGCACAGCAGCCATCACACAAACTGAGGTGGGGCGAATCTGACTCAACAACCTTACTTCACTGCCTCCTTCTCCAATTGTAGCCTCCAGTGGAACCAGGCACTCTTC